CTTGCAGAATCGGTTTTTTTACACGATCTTTGTCAATTTTGAATTCATTAAATACCATGTTTATGAGACTCTTGGGATAGTTATTATTCTTTAAAAGGGTCTCTATTTTTTCCTTATTTTCTCTGTGAAACTTCTTATTGCTTAATGTTAAAGCTCTGAATAGTAAACCTTTTATAGTTCCAATTTTTTGACTTAAAGGATGGTTTGATCAGTAATTAATACAAATGTGACGTCAAGGAGCGTCTTCTGGCAGACTTTCCTGTTACGATATATATGTTACCATCAAAATCGGAAATCAGGCATTATTAGTAATCCTCGGCATTACTATGAATGTAAAGAGCCTTTAGACGATATCGGAAATAAGAGTTTTTGGAGAGTTTTTCCAAGGAATCGAACATAATACTTTGATATCCTATAGAAGCAGTGACTAAATCATACTCAAAATTAATACGTTCAAGAACAGCCTTTGAAAAATCTTCAGAACGATCTTTAGCTAACTTCAACAGTGATTCTTTGAATTTTAGTGTAGACACGTAACAAACTTTTTTTCGAAGATGCTGTGCTTTCTTTTTCTCAGTTTCTTCATTGGGTTCATTACCACAAAATAAACAATATTTTTTAAAACAAAAATTTGATTCACTTACTCGCGTTCTAGTACGAGGTGGATATATTTTTGAAGTACTAGCCTGTTTCTCCTCACGTTGTCTTTTCACTGCAGAAATTGAAGATTTCCGAGTGTATGATTTTCTGCCATCCACGTGTATTGTAACGGATTTTTGAATTCTAAAATACTCAGTAAACTCATCACCTCTCGCGACACTAGCCTCGATTAAATTTGCCATTCCACGATCAACCACAACTGTTTTATCTTCAGTTAAAAGTTTATTGCAAATAAAGCAAAACTAAGACATTTTTAGAGCTATAAAATAACACATATAACCTAAATGGTAGACGCTTGTAATAAGTATGTATATTCATTTGAACTGAACCTTTAGCACTAAAAGAAACAGGTATATGAACGAGACCTACGGACAATAGAATAGCCCGATGTTTTTCAAGCCCACGTGCATAGAGGAGATTCAGTTAGGGAATGGCTATCTTTTGAATAAATGTTTTTAGAATAATATATATATATATTTATACTTGGCTTAAGTGCCTAATATGTATATACGTGGCTTATATGTGCATATCAAGTATAATGTTACTCTTAGAATCGCGATATCTCAGGAATGGTAACTCTTAGGAAAGAAATCGTTAACACCATTTTTGTAGAGAATTTTAAGATCTACAACTTTGGTTTAGAGTTTTTTTTTGATAAAACTTGCCGTTTCCAAGCAAAATTCAAAAAACTTCAAATTTTGACCTTTGACCTCGAATAACTTTTTAAGCACACATAGAATCGATGGGGATTTTTAAGACTTTATTTGTAATGGTAAACTACAGCTCTCCACCAAAATTTAGCTTTCCGGGAATTATTGTTATTTGACCATTTTTTTATGTCTAAATTGAGCGGACTATTTATACATTTCAACCAGGGTTTATATGCCGAAAGGCTTTTTTCTGACGAGCCAAATAAAGCGTACCTTTTAGTACTGGCTGGACTCAAAAATATTGGGTTTATTTGTGTTTTATTTCCCTATCCTCCTTCCAATCAATAAACAATCTCGATTTCACATGTGAGAGCAAATTCGATTCACGATATAAACCACTGGAGTACCGATCAAGGCGTCGGTTGCAACAAGTACCACTAAAAATATTTATTCAAAATACGTAAAGAAAGAAGAAGATTGTACAAAACAAAATTTATGACTTTTTATTCTCTTTTCCTCCTTCTTCTTCGGAGAAAGAGTATTAAACTTTTCATAATACGAATAAGAAATTTTAATTAGTCTACTTGTTGCAACAAGGTAGACTTTAATGACATTTTAAATTACATTTTACCACATTTTTCACGCAAAGACATTTCATAGTTTAGCACTTTCTTTTACACGTACATTTGATGAATCCTTGGCCGCTTCCACTGAATTGAGCAATTGCAACTGACCGAAGAGAAACTTCATGGTTAGGAATATCTTTAATTTTAAGCAAGTTCTTAGGGCATAAAGTGAATTGTGATCCCGCATATAATTGTTTTAAAATTCCTTAAGAAGTTCCAAGTCAATAGAAATCATCCTCTGTTACACTCATTAAAACAGCCACTATATTGCAAAAATCATTCTACGAGCATAGTAAAAAATAAATTTTATTTTCACTAGAATGCAGGCATAAAACATAATAAACCCACTTATCATCCGAAACGATAAAGAACAATAGATACAGATTTTCCGTGAACATCTCTACGAATATTTGTCTAAATATAATATATTCTTCTACTACGATAAGTAACAGTGAGCCCTACATAATAATACACTGGTATAGAATAAGTTTCAATTTATACAAGTGCGCACAGTCTTGTATACCCGCGTGTAATAACCTGCACACAAGAATTCACGGTGCAGTCAAGGTGTTTAATTAGTTAAAAAAAATATTTGTCTTTTACAGTTCTCGTCGAATTAATTTCAATTGCATGTAGGTATAGAACATTTCATTCTAAACCCGTTTATCTTCCGATACGATAAAGGACAAAAACTATAGATTTTCCGTTATAGCGATACGACAGTCTCAACACCACCCACCATGCTCGTTTGTGTGTGTGTGTGTGTGGGAGCGATTAGCGGGCTATTTGTTGGGCAGGGGGGGAGGGGGGTTCGTCGAGGCCTTTGCTAGAGGATGTTTTATTTTCAACGTTGTTTAAATAGTAATTTGATATTGTATAGAATATCAGAGTATTATGTTCGATGCCTAGGAAAAACTCTTTAAAAAGTCATATTTCCGACTTCGTCTGAAGGCTTATTAGCCCAGTCAATAAGAGGTGAAGGAAAAACTTTCAGGTAGAAGTTCTCGACAGTTTGATACAAAGGTAATTCGACGTCGCTGAATCGAATGGTGCTAATTTTTT